ATAAGGGGGGGGGGGGGGGGAAGAAGAAGAAAAGGGTGAAAGTGGGGGGAAGCTGAAAAGATTTTTAGTGGTTTTGATGTGGAAGGACCAGCAGTGTTGGTTGGCAAGCGTTCGGAAAGGGACTGCTCTCCTGGCACCGTGGTTCCCCATCAGCAGGGACTCTCCATGTCCCATCCCTCCTATCACTGAGGTCTTCCATCCATGCCCCGCAATCCTAAGGAAGGAGGTATATTTCCAGTGAAACAGGCTTTCACAGGGAAATAGCAATTGTGGTTTATTTTGGAAAGGTTTCAGTAGGGATATACGTACACATCACTTTGATGTCTCCTCTCCAAAACCTGCGGTTATAATCCCTCCATCCCCGGGGAAGCGGACGATGCTGAGGACAAGTGCACGTCCCTCCTAAAGTCAAGGGCGGCAGCAGGCACCCTATGGTGTGCTACCCCCCAGCACTATGACCTGTCTGCTGGGCGAGGGAGTCTCCGCCATCGCACACATGTAAATGGCAAGCGACACAAAACAGCACCACGACGATGCTCTTTCTTCTTCGACAGGTGGGCGAAAAAAGGCCAGGTTATAAAGGAAGCATCCGGTGACTTCTACGAAACCGTCGTGGACCACACCTTCTTCTTTGAGCCCGTCTCCTGCGAGGTCACCAACGCGCTGGGCAGCACAAACATCAGCAGGACCGTGGATGTCTACTGTAAGTAATCTGTCAGCTTCAGACTGGCTTCCCAGGGCTAAGCAGGGCCAGCAGAGCTGCTGAAAATTAACGGGAAGGGGACACAGCTAGGTCTGACTTGCCCAGGGTGACCAGGACTTGCTGGGCTCTCCTGTAGCTCAGACTCTGTAAATGCTCTGGTGGTGGGACCCATGATTTTCTCCTGCCTTATGAGCGCACAGCCTATGTTGGTGATCCTCGGGGAGCTGGTCATTCTGGGGTTGCAGCAGGCACCTGTCTTGGGCTCTTCTTTATTTGGGGGTCTTACGTGGCCATGACCCATAGGTCCATCAAGACCTACCACTGCTTCCTCTGACGCAGCGGCCTCTTTGGTTTGAGGGTTTCTGGTTGACACAGCCCATCACTGCGAGTAACTCCAGCCTCCTCTGTGCAGTTGGGCCCAGGATGGCGACAGAACCGCAGTCCCTCCTCGTTGATCTGGGCTCGGACGCGGTCTTCAACTGTGCCTGGACTGGGAACCCGTCTCTCACCATCGTCTGGATGAAGCGAGGCTCAGGCGTGGTAAGAATCGCTGCCGGGGCGGTGGGGAATGGCACGTTCATGGCATGAGGTGCTGCGTGATGCTCCCCATGGAGCAAAGGTCATACCTATGGGCTGGGAGCTCCTGGCTGGACAAATGCTGGACCTACAAGGCTCCTCCAAATGCAGGGGACAACATGGCATTGCAGAGCAGTGGCTCCCAGGCTGCAGGTCTGCAAGGCTGCAATGAGTGTCCCCAGTTAGTCAGAGAAGTGCATTAAGCATTAAAGGCTTTATTGCCTTCGTAATATTTTGGATGAAAGCGTGCGTGAATCCACGAGGCATTTGGATGGCAGGCTGGAAAGTTGGGCCTGGAGTCCGGTTTGGGAGAGGCAAAGGGAAAACCAGACTGCTGAAAATCAGCGCCATCGCTGCCGCAGAGGAATCGAGGCGGCGGGCTGTCTGACCCTGCCCCATCGAGTCCTCGCAGAGCCACCTTCCAGAGCGCACGCAGCTCTCGCCCGCAGGACATGTTTGCAAGGGAGTCCTAATAGAAGGAGAATCGATTCCCGTGATGATGGGCATAAGGGTTAAACAGAGGCCAGAGCATCGCTTAACCTCTCGCTGACGGGTAGCGCTTCTGCAAATCACCTACATGCGGTCCTTTCTGGCCTCCAGACCTGTGAGCTCACGTCCTAATGTGTTCACCCCAGCTCGCCTCCGCTGTGGGCTGGAGCCTGCTCAAGTTGGGGGAGTCTGGATCTGGCCCAGCAGACTTCTCCACATCTTTTTTGTCCTCAAAAGCGTAAGGAGCTTTGCAAATATTAATCACGGCTCAGTCAGCCCAGGGAGGCGCAAGATACTCTGATCCCCTCTTTACAGACAGGAGGGCCGAGCAAAGCCGTGTTAAGAAGCTAAAGGAGGGCTGAGACGTGAAACTCGTCCGGAAGGCGCACGCGGGTTTGGGTTTTGAAAAGCATCTTTCAGCTTCGTCTGGGCAGATGCGTCCTGAAGTCGATGAGGCAATGCTGACTTATGCAGCTCAAGACTAGGTATTAAGAGAGAGCTGGACTCACACGGGATTGAGATGAAAGGGCTGAGTTGCTCTCCTCACCTCCGCTCCCCAGGCACAGACCGAGGAGGGGAGCGGACATTGAGGCATTAACTGCTGAGGTATTTTTTCCAAACCATAATGACCTCGGTGAAGGCCGTCTCCTGGGAAGTAATTGTAGACTTGGGAGAGCTGATGGCTCGACTCAGCTAAGGAATTCCAGTGGGTCAATAATACCTGGGTGGTTTCCCATCCCGCAGCTGCGGTGGTTGTTTCTCTGGGTTGTTGTCATTATAGGCAACACTCGCACACTGTAGGCTGCTGTTTCATTTTCTCAAAGCCGCTGGAGTGTGCAGGGCAGCTGAAAGGAGCCATGCACAGCAAGGACGAGGGCTTCCTGACCCTCGCGGTCCAGCCCCAGCCATGCATCGGGGCTTGCCTTCGCTACCCAGCAGCACCCAGGCAGCACGCGGGCAGAGCAGACTTCTCCCTTTTTATTTGGCTCCCTCTAGCTCTCCCTCAGGGCTCAGGACAGACCCACCGGCTGGTTTAACCCAGCAGAGATGCTCGTGCTGTTCAGCAGAGCCGCCTCCATCTTCCCGGAGGGATGCTGGCAGGGGATGCTGCTTTGTAAAGCCCATCAGCTCCCAGCCGTCGCGGTGGGATGTGGGATCAGGGCTGCTTTTCTCCCAGCCCCTCCGCTTTCGGAGCCAGGTCAGGCTCCCACAAAGATTACCTTCTTTCCTCCTATTTTGCCAGAAGGAAACAAATCAGAGACAGAAGAGAGGATGAGGACAAGTAAGCACAGGCATTTGCATGGAAATCTTTGTAATCGATGCTAAAACAGTGGGTTTAAAAGGGATCTGCAACTCTGTGCCTCTGCCTCATGCCAGGTTAGGGGTGAGACCCCCATCTTGCTACAGGGAGACCCAGATCCATATCCAACTACTGCTCAGGGCACCGAGGGCTTTGCAAAGCATCAGCACAAGTTCCCAGAGGCATCAGCTGTGGGAGCAGCAACCAGCAGAGCCGGGGGCTCACCGAGCAAGCGGGTGCTGGAAGGAAGGGGAGGTGATGGGCTTGCCCCAGCCTGCAAAGTCCTGGGAGAGAGAGGCAAGAGCAACCGGGAGGAATTAGCCACCAGGCACACGTTTCCAGCACGGAAACGCATTGCTCCGAAAGCCGCTATTTGTTTTAGACCGGCCATGGTTTTTTAAATACCACCAGCGCTGGGATTCTGCTGACAGCCTCAGCCAGATCCCTCTGCTTCAGCAATTTTCAAGGTTTAATAAAGCTGCTAATTGCACTGCCAGGGCAGGAGGGCAGCGTGGCTGATAGCCACGTTGCAGCCGGTCTATAGGGAGGGCTTGCCAAAAGCAGCTGAGGTTTCCCCGGTTATCCAGACCCGGTTCCCAGGGGGCTGCCAGCTCTCCAGGTTGGTCTCCCACCGCTTCTGGTTTGAAATCCCTGACTCAGTCCTGGCAGCCTCCCCTGCACCTGCGAACATGGAAATGCAAGTGTGGAGCGTGGTTCTTTTGAAGGCTTTTCTGCTCCGGGTTACAAGGCAGTTGTGTCACTGCAGCCAACAAAATTTTTCTCTTCTATCTTGAACTTCTTGCAAAACTGGAGTTTGTAAAAACTCGAATGAATAGGAACGGGACTTATATTTCCCCCCGCCAAAACTGGCTTGTTTCTTTATTCCTTGGTCAACAGCAATAAGTGGTATTTCCATGCCATATAAGACTTCGGGCTCATCCACTTTGTTCTCTCCAGGCTGCTCTGGAGCTTGTAACGCACGTCTCATGTTCAACTTCGCATCGCCCCTCCTGAAAGCCACCCCCTCCTCTCTTCCAGGTCCTGAGCAACGAGAACAAGCTGACCCTGAAGTCCGTCCGCCAGGAAGACGCTGGGAAATACGTGTGTCGAGCCGTGGTCCCGCGGGTCGGCGCGGGGGAACGAGAGGTGACGCTCACCGTCAACGGTACCTCTTGCTTTCCTATTGCTATTCCATCCTGCCATCGCATTGCTTCGTTCCCGTTGCTCTGACAGCTCGCGTTGCCAAATTGTCCCCTCGGGGATTTGCTTACAGAGCAAATCCCACCCACAGCTGGATCCTGCCCTGCAGGCAATACGAGCAATTAGGATTTTGCATTCATTTGCCTGGAGATGCACGGGTTAAAGCAAAAAATACCCAGCATTATCTAAGACCTGCTTGGTTCCTTATTATCAACAGGGGTTTATTGAGTAGTTGGGAGCTGGTGTCTTTAAATCTTTAATAGATTTATCTTGCAAAAACCTTGCAAGGTCGGAGAGCACTGTTGTCTCTGTTGTACAGCCAGAGAGCTGGGAATTGAGCCTGGATCCGAGACCAGAAGCCTAATCACTCTCTCAGAGCCCACATGAGGATACCTGTGAGAGGCAGCAGTGCTATATAGCTCCTCCACGGCTGCTCGGGGCTCACCCAGCACGGTGGCAGGATGTGGCCCGGACCCTCACCCATGCCCAAGAGCTGGGAAGCACTCCAGAGCCCTGGAGTTTAACGATGACATGGCCAGGACCCCGCAGCAGCCGATAATGAATTCCAGCCTAAATATGGAAGGGAAAGAGCCAGGCAGGCTGCAAATGGTATAAATAGAGTATGAATTTTGCATTGTCTCTCACCTGTATGACAAACTGGCAGGCTTCAGTCCCCGCTCACTGTCACAAAGAGAAGAAAATAAGCGGGGAAGCAGCACAGGCGGCGGCAAGTGTTAATTTTAAATGCAGATAATGCTAGAAAGGGAAGCCAAGGGCAACGCAGCAGGGGACTGAAAACCAACCACTCCCTTGACTTCGACTCAGCTCCTCGGCGCCTGCATGCTCCTTCCCCGGCGGCTGCTGGGTTTTAATTACAATTAAACTAGCTCGCGGAAAACAAAGCAACAAATTAGCACAAACAAAGAACCTGCTCCTTTCCTGACACCTACCAGGCACGTGGCCGCCTTGAACGCAGAGCAAAGCGCTCGGCAGGCTCAGGGCTGTTTGGAGCGTGCAGCATGGAAAAGCTTCTCTCGAGAGCTTTGCAGCTTATGCCACCGCTGAGCTTTTCGCCTTGCAGAGCTGACGGGAGAGCAAATAAAATCCGTGAGGTTCGCCACTCAGCTTTGAGCATCTCCCGGGAGCTGACTGCCTGCAGCATCCCCTGCCACTAGGACGTGCTGCTGGGGGATCTGCTGCTGGGGTTTGGTGCAACCCCAAGGTGACAACGTTGAGACACGCCATCACGGGCGTTGGACCCTAGACCAAGGGAGAATCCCACACTTCCAGGTCGAGATGGTCTCCTGGCCCTCCAAAGCTGGGAGATCCAAGGTGGGCACGCCCCAGGGCAGCGTCCCCAGGTCTGACATCCACCAAGCACCGGGGCTTGGCGGCCTGTCCTGCAGCTGGAGCAGCTCTCCAGCTCCGGGAGCACGGCACGGTGTGTCTAATCCAGCTAATGAATTCTGCTGAAAGTCTTTTCCGCTGTAATTTGAGAGGGAAGTTGAACGCTTCATATTTTCAAGTGATTTTAAATCCAGAGGGTGATACAATTGTCTTGGTATTACCAGGTGCCTTTCTCCGTGGGCTGGGATTCGTCACAGTAAAATTAGGCATCTGGAAGTGTCTGTTCTGGGCTAGCTGCATAGACTGTGATCAGTGCACGCGGGCTTCGAAGGGGCTGATTCATCCCACCAAAAGCACAGGGACCCCGACTGAGGGATCTTCATCCGACCCAGCCTGAGCCTGCAATCCTGCCTGTAGCAGCCCATCCACTCCCAAAACAGTCAGAAATTGTGGCAGCACCATGCTGGGGTGGGAGAGCATCCTCCTGCCCTCACTGCAATCGGGTCTCGCTGCCCTCCCCACTGGCAGCCTCGCTGGCCAGGTCTGCGGTTGCAGAGAGGGGCTGGCAGCCCATCCCCGAGCCGGAGCGTGAGGCCACCAGCCTGAAAGGAAGCAGATACGATTCAGAGTCTTGTTAATGGGAAGGGGGATTATGCAAATGAGCAGCATTTGGCAGGGCTGGAGCAGCAGAGGCAAGAAGGAAGCGAGGAACTGTTGGTGCCATCATAAATCAGCAGCAGTCGGATTTACAGCCCCCGCAACGAAGCAAAGCCTCTCGTTGCTCCCGACTGCACACAAGCCTGCTTGAAGCTCCCACCCCAGTAGGAGAAGCACCCATGATCACCTCCACAGCGGGACTGCCTGCAGTACGGTCTGTCGATGCATCGTCTGGGCTTGGCAGGGGCTGCTGAGCAGAGACCACCACCCCTGCCCGTCTTGCTCTGCAAGAAAAGGTTTGTTAGAAGGGCTGAACAACCCCTGGTGGCTAATTCAGGATTTAATTTGCCTGGGATTCACCCCAACAAGCAAGCCAAGCCTGCCGGAGAGCTGGGAGCACAGGAGGGGCTGACCTGCCAGACTGCTTGGTCGGGAGAACATCATGGTGTCCCCTCAGCTCACGCCTGCAGCAGCCCATTGAGGGCTTCACCGAGCGTGTCTCCGCCGCCGCTTGCAGATGGGGACCTTGGGATGGTCCTTTGCAATAGCGGGCAGCACGAACCAGCCCAGGGCTTCCGCAGGACGCAAGGAGTTAAACCAAACTCTCCTGCCAAACCCTTGCCAAGGTTGCAAGGGCTTGGGAGGAAAGGTTCAGATGGACTTCAAGCAGGCTGGAGAAGTCAAGGCCATCCTTTCTTTCCTCCAAGACTCCCGAGTCAAGAAGCTGCCTTCTCTTTTGTGCGAGCCACCAGCACCACACAAATAAATTGGCACCGGCGTGCTAAAAATAACCGCAACCAATAGCTCCATCATTTATATCCATAGCAACATTGTTTAAAGCCTTTATCCTGCCTGTGGGCTGTCTCACACTTAGCGCTGAATGCCAAGACGGAGATTGGCAGCTTTCATAAGGAGCCAGAGCCTCGTGGAGAATCAAACGCCGGCCCCAAATGTGAAGAGGCTGCAACTTCATGCTATTATTTCGGGGCATGTTCATCTCGCAAATGGTCCTTAGTCATAGGCTATTATCATGATGATAAGCCTTCGACTCTGAACTCCTAAAGCAATAATAAAACCCAAAGCCGTTGGCATTTGTGCCATTTAAAATCCACTCTCCTTGGGGAAAATGAACCTTTTAATGATTATTAAGCCATTTTTCTCTAGTATCACCCAGTCTTGGAGAGCTTCCAGAATTTATAAGTAACATACAACTGTTGAAATAGAAAGAAGATGGCTTTTTTCTATTATTATTTATTATTTAGGCCTGGCCTACGGATCCCATTGCTGCTCTTGCTTCCGTCGGCTTTGGGTTCATCAACAATCAGGGCAGGCGAGCAGGAGGATCACCTAGCACATGTTTAGTTAGCCAAGAAGCTCATCCCGCATGCCTTGTGCCACCCTTGGAAGGTGATGGGGCCACACGGGTCCCCATCGCGTGTCCTGTCCGGGAGGAAAAAGCCCCAGCACACGTTTAGGGCCATCTGCCCATCACACTTGGCTGTCGGCACAGTTCTGCTCTTGCACCGGACATGGGGAGCGAAGGCCAAGGCTAGCTGATGTTACCACCTTGGGCATGCTTGGAAAGAGCTATTTCATGAAGGCAAGATGCCGTTTGCATCCTCCTGAAGGGAGGCAAAGCAAGGAATCAACCGAACTCTCCTGAGACCCCAGCCAGCGCTTCTGAAAGATGGCTTTCAGAGATAGGTAAATGAGAATGCACGCCTTGGGAACGTGCCTAGAAGAACATCTCGAAGAAGAGCATTTGGGCAGAAAACCACAACAAAATGTCCTTTTTTTCCTCTGTTTCTGATATAAGGGGGCACAAAAGTTTCCACTAACGTACGGCTATGACCGTTACCTCAAAACGAGTCCTGACCTTCTCCTTCACGCACAGCTCCTGCTATTACCAATTTGGATGGCGGCTCACTTTCGTCGGTAATTTCCTGAGCTGCCAGAACCGTGTTTCTGGTCGCTGGTCAGTGAAATGCGCTTCACTGAGCTGGTTCTCCGTGCACCTCACCTTGGAACGTCATAGGGAAGGAAGGAAAGGGCTGTATCTCGGTGGGAAGTATTTGGGGAGTGTGAAAGTTTGGTGCAGAAAGGTGTTACTGGGACAATTTCAGTAGGCAACTGTATGTATGAAAGCACCAGAGTGAAGAATTTAGCATTTCGGTACATTTTTGTGCATTCTGCAAATTCATAAATGGGCGATTTGGATGAGAATCAGTCAGGAATACCCAGGCGAATCTGTTTCTCCCCACTTTACCCCAAATCCCTGAGACTTTTCTTAAAGGAACACATCAGCTGCAGGGGAAGAAAAAAGAAATTGGAAAAAGTTTCTCAAATTCCACAATCCGAAACCAGGACAGATGGATTGATGGGAGGGAGGACGAGCGCAGCAAGCTCTCCCACTCCGACCGTCCCAGAGTCCTGGGCGCAAGACCCAACTGAGGTTGTCCCCAGCAGTATAGTAACAGCCTCTTGTAACAACTCCTGTTGCAGCTCTTCCACTTTGCATGGCCAGTACGGAGCCCGACGGTGTTTGCAGCATGTTTGCACATCGCTCCGAACACGTGTGCGTGGGTGGGCATGACGACAAGGCTGTATTTTCTGACAAACCCAGTGACAGACTCAAAAACAGGAGGGACAACCCAGAGCAAACATCCGAAATAGCTGAGCTCAGGCAGGGGGAGATCAGCCAGCCCCTGCCTCCTCTCTCGCCCTGCCCTGCGCTGCCTGCTTGCATCCCTGTTGCTGTTTTCTTTTCTGCCAGCAGCAAGCCACTCATAGAAATGCAAATCTGCTTTAATTAAGGAGGTTAATAAACAGCAATTAGGATCCCAGCTCTTGTTCTGCTCCCTTGGGGTGATCCCCTCCTCAGGGGGAGGTCCCGCCCCGCAAGGCTGTTGGAAGAGTGGGGGACACGCTAACCCCACCAAGCCATGCTCTCCTCTCCAACCCCTTTTCTCCCAACCGTGTCTTCAGGATGTCCACCAAGGCAGGACAAGGACATTTCCCTTCACAAGCTGGCTCAGCCGGTGCGTTCGGCCTTGTATCACTCAGGGAGAGCCTTGCCCAGCCAGGCTGGGCTCCTTCGGCATCTGAATGGCACAGGAGAGCCCAGCTGACGGGGTCCCAAGGCTTTTCCAGCAGAAATTTCTCCACCGCATCGGGCAGGCTGACTGCAGGTCACTGATGGTGGCTTGCAGGTAGCAGCTGCCCATCAGTGCCTCCTTCTGCCTCCTCAAGCCCCTGGGGAGCAATTAGTGTAATGGTTGCTTAACAAATCTGGGAGAGCGCGGAAGAGGAACACCAGGTGGGCTGGGCTCTTGCTTTGCTTCTGGAGCAAACAGCCCTTCTCAGAGGCCAGGTTCACCACGGAGGTTTCCACAGGGTGATTTAATCGCCGTCCAACACCAGGGATGTAGGAGCAGAGATGGGGAGACCCTCGTGCTTAGCGGGGGCTTTGCAGAAAACCAGCAGAGCCTTAAAGCAAAGCCCCCACTGTGTGTCCTTCTGCATCACAGGAGGCGAGGGAGCTGTTGCTCCATCCTTCCCCCTCAAAGGGGGACTCCGATGTCCCTCCATGACTCCGCTAACACCCCCCTGCATTGCCACCAGTATTGCAGCCACCCGTGCGAGATGCCAGCAGCCCTCTCCTCTCTCTTGCAGGGCCACCCATCATCTCCAGCACCCAGACGCAGCACGCCTTGCACGGCCAGAAAGGGCAGATCAAGTGCTTCATCCGCAGCACCCCGCCGCCAGACCGAATTGTGAGTAGCATCCCATGGGGCGGCACTTCACGGGGCATGGTGGGTGTCTTGCACACCTTAGGGTGCCCTGCGGTGGGCAAACCTGCCCCAGGCTGACCCGTCTCTTGCTTGGCAGGCTTGGTCCTGGAAGGAGAACGTCCTGGAGTCTGGGACCTCCGGGCGCTACACGGTGGAGACGGTCAGCACGGACGAGGGCGTTATCTCCACGCTGACCATCAGCAACATCGTCCGGGCCGATTTCCAAACCATTTACAACTGCACCGCCTGGAACAGCTTCGGCTCCGACACGGAGATCATCCGGCTCAAAGAGCAAGGTGGGCATCGCTGAGAAGCCGGTGGGGGCTGTCGGGCAGCGGGAATTAGCGCCTGGCCGGGCTGTAAGAGTGGGGAGATGCTGTGAGAGGCAGGAGATGCTCAGAAAAGCTCTTGGGATGTCAAAGAGGAAACTAGGAAGGGCGGTGAAAATGCTCCAGACGTGCTAGCTGTAGGATTGCATCCTTAGGGTACCTGGTCCTGGCAGGGGGTCAGGAGGTGGGACAAGCCCTGCAAAGTCTCTGCTTGATACGGTATTGCCCCACTTTGCCTGTCCTGCTGAAGTTGGAGGGCACAGGCCAATCCTGCACCCCTCGCTCCCTGCCCCATGGCACAAGGTGATGCCACTGCCACAGGCTGGAGGATCATTTATAGCCTTAGAGAAACAGAAACGGCTGCTCCTACCAGACCCCACTGCTCCGCGGTGATGGGAGTGAGTGGGAGGAAGGCGTCTGGGCTGGTGGCAACCCTCCACCCCGGCCACCAGCCACGATGTCGGCACGTGTTTTGCAGGGCTGGGCTTACCCACCCAGCCTCGAAGGCACCTCGAGCAACTCTCAAGGGATGGCCAGGGGATTTCCACTCTCGGGGCTCTCAATAGCAAGGGAGGGAGATGGCTTTTGTGAGGAACACTTAGCTCCTGGAGGGACTCCAGTTCTCTTCTATTTTATTAAATGCCAGGGCAGGCAGGTGGATTGTTCTCATTAAGCCATGATTTATAGGCAAGGCTGCTGTCCAGATTAAATCAGAGCTAAATGAACCCCTTAAAATTAGCCTTGGGCTTCTTCCAATGCAAACAGAGCCAGTGGTTTTTCCAGGTTGTCTGCCAGTCAGCGGGAGCGCTCAGCGGCAAGCCTGGGTCCCAGTGGAGGGTGGCTGGGCAGCTGAGCCGGGTCGGAGCCGGCGACGCAGCATCCAAGTCCACGGCCGGCTCCGCATCCGAGATCCGGGCATCGCTGTTAGGCGATGCAAGGGGACATCCCTGCCCTGGGCAGGGGGACGCTGTAGGGTGGCTGAGGATGCTGTAGGGTGGCAGAGGGCATCCCCTTCATGGGGACATCTCTGCGCTCGGAGCAGAAAGTGGAGCAGAGGGCTGAGCGCTCAGGAAGACTGACGTGTGCGCTTGGGCTGTGCAAGGCTGTGGACACTTGCTTTATTTTCAAACAGGTACGGAAATGAAATCAGGAGCTGGTATTCAAGCAGGTATGGAAATCATGAGCTGACGGTGAACGTGAATTGTCCCCAGCCATTACCACACCTGAGGACTCGGCGTCCTCCTCCTGGCCCGGCAGCTTTCCAGCAGGGCAGGCAGGGCTGGACAGGACAGGGCAGGGCAGGGCAGGGCAGGAAGGGGCGTAGGAAAGCTGCAGGGCAGTGACTGGGGCACGGACTGGGAAGCAGGAGCGGTCCAGTCTCCACTCTGTCACTGACTTGCTCTGCAAACCCAACATCGCCTTTCTGTGCCCCAGCTCCCCAGCAACTGAGAGGGGGATAACATTACGCAGCCACGTTTTAAAGTGCTGCGGAAGGGACCACTTAAGTGCTATTATGGGGACAAAAAGAGAGAGAAGTAGAAGTTTCCAGGGTCATTCGCAGACATCAGCTTGTCTCAGCATCCCGAGAGAGTGCTAGCCAGCATCCATCGCAGCCAGAGCAGGGCTGAATGGATATTTGGGCAGATGCTGTGGGATGTGCTGCACTTGTGCCTTCCTCGTCCTCTGCGCCAGAGTGGGGTTCATGGGAGAGCTCGGAGCCAGCAAACTGCTCCTCGTCCGCTCGCCCTTGTCTTTGGGACGCGGTTTACCATCCCAGCCACTGGTCCCTGTCACTGTCCCTTTGCAGTCAACCTTTTTTGCAGCCCAGGAGAGCCCCAGCCACATTCCCCACGCCGTTCCCTGCATGATTCTCCATCATCTTCAAGCAGCATCACTCACCATCACTACCTGCTTCTCACACAGCTCTGCACTGCAGATCTCACTCCCCCAAAGCTGAGAGCCAGCAAGCACTCCCAGGGACCCCAGGCTCCTGTCTCCTCACCCGTTCACTCTATATTGCCCCGGGAGAGCCAAAAAAGTCCCACGACAAGTTACCACCGTCAGCAGGAGCACTGCCTAGCAGGTGGCCTCAGGCTACCCGGAGAAGAAAATCCCAGTTTCTTCTTGCTGTGGCTCAGCTGGTGTGTTGGAGGATGCTGGGTTTAGGATGAGCTCCTTGGTGCAGCTGGAACCAGACCCAGCATCTGCTACCTGAGCTCCAGCTCAAGGCTGCAAAGCACTCAAGGGGACTTGCCTTTTCACCGGGGGCCCCAGGGGAGTTCCTGCACCACCGTGGTGAGCACTCTCGGGCAGGTTTGGCGGTCTACTCAGTGCTCCATGAGTCATGTCGCCAGTGGCCCAGCTCGAGTGACAAGTGACACAGCAAGGGACCAGCAGGCCCGGGCAGAAAATTCATGAGCAAGCCAGAAACGGAAAAGCATCAGCATAAACCACCAACTGAATCACTTGAAACAACAAGCTAAGCGGGGAAGATTAAAGGCTCTTTTTAGACCAAGTGTGAGCAGAAGAGGCTAAACTCAACCAGCACCATTTTTTTATCACTCTGCAGTTCTCAAAGTAGGGCTCAGGACCCATGAGGCCCCATGGCCACTGCTAAAGGGTAACGTGAAGTGGCTTTATAACTCCCCTGCCCCAGCTGGGATTAGATAGCAATGAAGAAACCTTTTGCTGACTACACGGGAAAGATGCTGGTGGAATTACGACTCCTCCCAGTCCCACCAGTAAGGAGGCATGCCCCTTAGGAAGGCTGAAGGGCACAGGCAGGAGCTGTGATCTCAGGTCCAGGATGAAATTCGTGGTCAACACCAGCTCCACGCCAGTGGACAACGAGAAATGGTTTCCTTATCACCCAGTCGAATGTCAGCCATCAGGCTGCCAGGTTTTGCTTCTCAGCTAGATTACTCATGTGTCCCCATCTCCCCCTGGTCCAGCAGCATTCCCGTTCCACACCTGCAGAGGCGAGGAGGAAGGAGGACCACCTCTCTGCATCCATTCTTTCCTAAATTCATCCCATCCATTTGCAAGGCAGGGGCCCCAAGGAGAAAACACGCGTCGGAGGTGTGCAGGAAAGCGGTGAGGACACACTCACCCGGCTTAGCCGGCCATCCTGGAAAGCGTTACCCCTCTTTTTGCCTGCTGTTGGATTCACAAGAGCCTATGGGGTGCTCAGAAACAACAGGAATGGAGACCTATAGATACCTGCTGCTTTTGGGGAGAGGGTCTTCAGGGTACGGTTTATCATCCCAGCCAACGAAGACAATTTGTAGTACCCACAGCTTTGGTGTCCTGCGAGTGGGAGTGCTGCCTGTTGCTGCCTGGCAATAATCCGGAGAGCAGGCACCAACCCAACGCTCGCCGTTAAGTAGGAGCTGTGCTTTGAAGGACCGGAGGAACTGAGCAGGGAGATAACAAGGCTCTTGGGCTGCAAATCTGACCCTCTCACCATAAATGTGATTTCACATTCCACCCTCCCTGCACCTCGCAAGCTGCTGCCTGGATCTGCGCAAATAAATCAGCTTTGCTGGCTGAGCCGCGGTCTGAAATCCCCGCCGGGAACCCAGCTACAAAGTTATTGTAGGCAGAAGGGCACAAACATGTAACCCCTGCTCTGCAGCAAGCTCTGCTCCCCCGGGCTGCCTCCCGCAGACCCCTGCCCGCACATCCCCACCCGGCAGCCCTCGCCCACCACAGCCACCTGGCCTCTGCTCATCCCCGGCACAGGCCATCCCTCCCGTCCCAGTCCTCAGGGGTTCGGGGAAGGATGGCAGAGCTGGTAAGCCAAGGGAGAAGGCAGGAGATTGGGATACAAAACAGGCAGAGGCTGTGAATGATGGCTCTTGGGTTAATTCACCCGTATATACTTAACAGCGCCTGCTAAGACAGCTGAGCTGCCGCCTCTGGCAGGCAGGCTCGGTGCCCGACTCCATCCCTCCATCCCGGCTCTAACCTTTCTCCCAGCCCACTCTGATGCCATTTCTCTTTCTTAATAATATTAACACACCATCTTCTTTTGCGCTTTTCATCCTTTAGAGATACTCATTCATTAACCCGCAGGGCGCTGTCGCGAGCAGTTAACCCGCTCTTCTGGATCCTTCCCAGGGGAAACTGAGGCACAGAGAGATCAGGGTTTGCACAAATTGCAGCACGCGCCAGTGTCCCACGGGCAGCCCGTGCTGGCGTCACCCACGCAGGGATGAGGGAGCGGGGAAAGGAGGTCCATTTGGCCCCAAAACCCTCCCCAGGCTCATCACCAAGCCGCCTTCCAGTAGCCAGGGGTGGGTCCCTTGGGGAAAAGCCAGCTCTCCAACCTTCATCCCGGCTTCATGCTCCCTCTCCTTCCTCTTGCAGAGTCGGTGCCGATGGCGGTGATCATTGGAGTGGCCGTGGGGGCCGGCGTGGCGTTCCTGGTGTTGATGGCCACCATCGTCGCCTTCTGCTGCGCCCGCTCCCAGAGGAGTAAGTGTCTCCCCCGGCCCCGCTGCATCCCTTCGGGCAGGGCTGGGGCTAAAACCTTGGCGGGGGGACGAATAGCGTGGGGCACAAATAAATTAGAGGCTGAATTTACTGACACGGCACCAGCACAATCTGCTCCTCATGTTGGTCTATCAAATGTTCAGCACCACTTGGCTGCTAACAGCCGCCCTGCAAGTAAAGGAAAGGGTTTCGGAGCACGTGGAAAAACATGCCGGGGTAAACGCTAATCCCCGGTAGCAGCACAGGCAGTTTGGGAGGCATGCAGGGGTGTCCTGGGGGCAAAGGGATTGCAAAGGGACCTGCTCTTAATCCCTCCCTTGGAGAAATCCTGATGTCCAAGAGGGAGAAGCATCCTCACCATGCCACGTCGGTGCTTAAAAAGCCTTCTCAGTTTGTGCTCTCTGTTCTGCTTCTGTTTTAATTCCATTTTTCTCGACATAAAATGCGTATTTCCTAGTGGGAAATAACAGCCAGTTGAGGGGGTTTACATGAGACATGTGGGTTTAGAAGCCTGGCTGCGGTGGGAATACAAGTTAAAGTGACATTAGAGACGCAGGTAGAGGAGAAGTAGGGGTAAACAGCATGGCATCGTGTTGCCTCATTAAAAAGACACCAGGAAATTAAAGGAGGATTGCTGGCTAAATGAAAAGGCATCAAACCAGGAGGGAGAAGAGCGTGATTGTCTGGAGCATCTCAGGCCACGGGGGGGAGAAGTGGAGATACTCGACGGTCCTCCCAGCTCGGGAGATGCGTGGTATGGATGCCAGGATGCCAAGCTCTCTGTGCGTGTGACAGAAAACCCACGTTTTCTTTGTTTTTCTTTTCTTTTTATTTTTCCCACTCTTGATCCTTTGCAAAGCAAAGACACCAGGCCCCTCCTGGATTTGGATATGAACACACGGCCTCCCGCAGCAGAAGTGTGTTTAATTTTAAGAGGGATAATGATGCCTCTCCCTGTTTTATCCCCTGGTTTTTTGAACTCTTGCAGCCTCCATTAGCAAGTATTAACAAATTAAATGGGGGGGCAGGCATTAATCTTGCTTTTTGGGGGAGGATTGCTGATGGACAGGACCCAAGAGCAGGCCAATTCAATGTTGCGGCGATCATTTACCGAGGATGGACGATGCGAGCGCCCGAAGAAAGCAAGGGCCAAGCCGTGTCACCATGTCAATGGTTGGATGTAAGCGGCTGTGCTTTCCCCACGCCGCATCATTCGGAGCAGGGGAGAGCATGCGGTTCATTATCTTCCTCTTACTTGGTGTAACCAGATGGCGCGGGGTTCTTTACAGGACATATGATTTAACACTAATGCCATGACAACAGATCAAAGATGTGGTGCAAGTGCCAGGTTTTAGAGCCACTCACAAGCCGGAATTGTGCAGAGGATGGGCAGGTCTCTGGGGGAGAAAGCAGAGCTCGTCCTTCCAGGAGGGGACAACCCCATCCCACCCAAAAGTCTTGTGTGATTCATCCCTTGGATTCCCAGTGGTAAATCAGGAAGGAGAGGCTTTTTCCTCACCAAAGCTCAGAGGATACGTATTGGGAAGAGGGTACTGGGGGCATGATGGCATGGCAGTGCTTGAAATCCCTTTCCTCCGCTGCGTTTCCAGTGCTGTCCCACTTAGAAAGGACTTTTTGGTCTCCTATATGCAATGAGCTGCTGGGTCTGTGGCATCTTCCCAGCGTGCTCACTACACCACTGCTGTTCTTCAGCTCCTCCTGCAGTGCAAGTCCCCGGTTGCCATGCCATGGGGAGAGGTCTACAGCATCCCTGGACCAGAGCACAGGTCCCTGTGCTTCCCACAAGGCTTCTTTGCTACAGGATCAGAGCAAGCGAGCAGAAAGAGATCGTCCAAGAGATCAGCAAAGGTCCCTACCCTGATCTCCCTTCCCTCCCCAAAGTGAAATAGGAGGAGGAACAGCTCAACCTTTTCCGGAGAGCCGGACCCAACCGGGTGCACCAGCTCGGTAACAGATGCTTTGCTGGGTGCTCGCCGGGGCTGCTGCTCAAAAGGAGCGGGATGCCGTGGTGCTAGCGAAGCAAATCCTGGGTGCAGGCGGGGTTCCCCGGCCTGAGATTCGTGCAGGGAGCTGGGGGTGCTGGTGGCAGTGGGGCTGCTTGGTCCCCCATCACGTGGCTCCAAAAGCCACTTGGAGCTGCCAAAACAGGGTCCCTCCTTGTTTTTGTGGGGGAGTTGGGAGCATCAGCAGCTAAACCAGCCCCCGAGTGTCACTCATGGTGCAAAACCCTGCAGGGGAGGACTTGGCTGTCCCAGGACAAAAGGACTTTTATCCCAATTTTGCAGGTGCTAGTGCAAACTGGATGCTGTGGCCGCTATCTCCAGTGGCAGGTGAGCGTTAGGAAGGTAGAAACACCAGGCTGAGAAGGTGAGGAAAGGACTTTCATCACGGTTAGTGGTGTGAAATCAGCAGAGGTATTACAGAGATCAGCTCAGGAGTGATGGGACCAACAGAGCACTTTGATATCAGGAGAGGGACTCGTTTCTTACCAGGATGACTGCAGATTCCTCTCCCAGGACAAATACCGGAGCGTTGTTGCATCATTTAAAACAACAGCCTGCAAACAAAACCCGTCAGCAGGCTGCAGGGACAGCTCCACACGGTTCCCGGCGGAGGGGACAAGGTGACCCAGCAGTAACTCTGGAGAAGGCGTCTCCTGATGGCTGCAACCGGCCACCGACTGCAACTAATGGCACTGAGGGAGGCAATTCCTGGCCTTGCTTTGGGGAGATGCAGCAAAAAAATGCACCGGGCGCAGACACACCGAGCCTGGAGGCTCTGGAAAAGAAAAAAAAAAAATACTTTACTGCACATCTGTTGTTGTATCTTCAGTGACTTAACGGCCCAGAGTTATTTAAGGGGGAACACTCCTGGGAGAGGATGTGCAAGACAGTAATTAGCTTCTCCTTGTGATTAAAGACGGAGGCTCCAGCACCAGGAACATGGTCCCAGCAAGAAAAAAAAAAGAAAGAGCCGTAGTAACTTCCCAGCGAAACCCTTTGCCTTGCACCCTGAGACTTGGAGATGTCTGTGGGCGACAGCAGGGCTGCAGACGTCGAGGGCACAGGACACTGAGATGGATTAATTCAAGGCTGGAGCTTCAAGCCGGTCTCGGTTGCGTGATTCAGTTTGGTTTACGGATAAAATCACCGTCTCCTCCTGCGTGGTCCAAGCCTTTGCTGGACTGAGTCAGGGCAGTCCTGGCTTGGCAGGGCACTGCCGGTTCCTTCGGCTGCAGGTAGAGCTGACGAGCCCAGCGGTTCAAGGCAGTTTTGGGTCGGGGAGGGTTGGCACAGCCACCCTGGGAGGTGAGAGCCAGATCGTAGGCTGAAGCCCGTCTTCAAAGCTGGAAGCTGTTTAGATCTCGCTGTTCAGATTTGCATCCATCTCTACTTTTCATCTCGGATTCGCCTGGCCGTTTCTGCTCCTGCTGCTTGGTGTCTTTGGTTTAATTTTGCTAAAATGACTTCTTCAAAGCACGCCTGACACCTTCAGGGAAGGCAGAGAGTCTCTCCAGAAATGTTTCTCTCTGCCCTGCATGAAAACAGGCTGCTTGGAGCAGCAGCCAGGGATGATTTTGTCATTCCCGAAGCCCTGGCTGCGTCTTTGTTCATTGCTCAGCCTTTTCCATAGGTATCTGCACCCCAAACCTGGGGAAGGCTTTTCTCAGGGGCCCCTCAGCACCAGGGAAGAGCTGGTACGTCCCTCAGGAGCAGCATTTCATGTGCTCCCCGAGCAGACGCTGTAGATCAGCAGCCTGGACAAACAGCCCGCCATCTGTTTGAGCAGTCCTGCTGCAGCCCAGCCCCTGTTAACAGCACCACGAGTGTGGCAGAGACTAACCAAGCTCCAAAAAGAATTAAAATAGAAATCTGAGCTCCCTGGAGGTGAAGGTTTCACATGCCCATACCTTACGGCAGCGCAAACATTGCTCCCCCAATTCTCAGATGCGCTTGCTGCACCAGGGTTAATTTTCCCCGGTGCTGCTGGACGTCCTCGGCAATCAGGCGGGTCCCTGAGGATGCTCCACGATTGCCTTCGACTAACCCCTTCTCCATCTCACTCTTTGCCCAGATCTCAAAGGTGTGGTTTCTGCCAAGAACGATATCCGCGTGGAGATCGTACACAAGGAGCCGGCCTCGGGCAGGGAGACGGAGGAGCACCCAACCATCAAGCAGCTGATGGTAAGGATTTACTTCTTCTCCCCGTAAGCAATTACTCTGGGTAAGTGTTTGATGGTAATGAGCCCAGGCACATGTAGTTCAGTGCCGTAATCCCCACTCAAGGCAAAGATGCTCTTCCAAAAATCTTGCTCTTGAGATACACATTCTCCTGCCATAAAAGCTCCTCGAGTGAAACTTTGCTAATGAGGAGGGAGAGCTGGGAGAGGTTTATTGCAGTAGCCCAGCTGCCCGCTGGGCTAATTGCAAAGCAAATTTGCCACCTCGCATGGGGAAAGAGCTGCAAACTGCAAGTAGGCACGCAATAGGTGAGCACAATATAATAATGAGCTAATTAGCCAGCGAGAACTGCGCTCTCCGGGACGCAGTTCGGAGAGTTATATGTGCGAAATTAATGTATGTGCACGCAGTTGGTTGCAGATTGCTAACACCGGGGGTGGGGGGCCAGCCCGGACCTGGGTCTGTAGTAACCTGGGAGGTGTCACCTTCCTGAGGCCGCTGCCTTTGCCCAAGGGGACCGAACAACACGGACCAAGCGGCAGGGCAAGATGCCGATGATGATTGAGGTCCCAGGAAATTCAGCTTCAGCCCATGGACCTGTGCATCCTTGCAGCCCAACCGCAGGCTGCTCCTCTCGCTGGCGTCGCCGCTGTTGGCCGTGTCTCGGCCCCAGTTTGCCTTTGCTTTTGCTTGCTGGTGTCATGTCGTAGGTGACAAATACAAAGCCGAACAAATGGCAAGGAAAGGGGAGCCGCAGAAAGCTGCACGGCCGTAAAAGGCGAGAGAAAAGAGCAGATAGGAAAGGGAAAAGGGATTGAAGAGGCTGGAGGCTGCTTTCTAGGCTGCTGGGTGGTTTGTTCCTGCTCTAACCCTCTATTTTTTGGGCAGCGCTTTTAAACATCGGTATGCCCTGCCTGCAAAAGCTCTTTGATGAATTACCGGAGGAAAGGCAAGGCTGAGCATCGTAGGGCGGGCAGAATCGATGTCTGCCGGTGCACATATACAGCAAGGGAGCCTCGAAATGAGAAGGCAGGAGGAGATGGAGATCTGGCATGTCATCCCAGCACCGCTGAGGTTTCTGTGCAAGACCCTTCATTCCCAGTAGGGCTTTGCCCCAAGGAGGCTGCAAATCCACGGCGGGATTTGCAAGGCTTCGCTCGGTGGAAGGACAGCGGAGGCTGGGACTCGGGTCTGGAGCAATCTGCTGAGATGAAGGGGAATGAGGAGCTTCCTCTCCATGGCACCCTGTACCACCGTCTGTATAGACAGTGATCAGCAAGCGCCAAGCCCAGATCTGGTTTCCAAAGGAGGGGCTGAGATCAGGCCAAACGCTGCTGGAGACCTTCACCACCACGCTGGAAGCACGCACGAAGCCTCAGCAGAGGAGACATACAAGGACCATTTACCACTGACGAGTAAATGAGGAAGAGGATGGTCGTGGGAGGCCAGGCACAGGATCTTGCAAGACCTCGTGGGGGCTTGCCTAGATTATTTGCCAGAGCCAGAAGGTGATTTCACGTCAACGCGTGCCCTTGACGAGGCTGGTACCGGGGCAGTGCAGAGCTGTGCTGTGCACATTTCAGTAAGGATGCTGGCAGGGTGGAAATGGTGCAGAAAAAAATGACAACATTCATTTGATAGCCGGGGAAAAAATGCCTTACGGGGAGAGGTTTACAGAGCTCACGTGTTTTAGCTTATCAGCAAGACTTCTGAGAGGTGGTTTGGTTACAGCACGGTATAAAGGGGCTATTTACGTGCAAGCAGGGTAGGCAAAGTCGAGCGCTTTCGGATACAACATGACAGAGCGTAACAGCCTGGCTGCTGGACCGGGAGAAGGTGATTCTCCCCCTCTCCTGGCCAAATCCAGGCGCTTTTCCTGAAGATACATCAGTTGGAAATAACATCGTTGGATCAACGCTGTTCAAGAGGTTGGAAGAGATGGTCCATAGCCTCTGACCTTGACGCTGGGCAGATTTGGCACCGGTTGGGACATCCTGCCTGGCAGGGAGAAGACATCAAAGCCCCCTCCCCTGCCTGGACCGGAGCCTCCCCATCTTCATCTGTCCTCGGCAAGAACATTCCCAGCAAATACTTCCCGATCTCTTCTCTCCTCGAAGCCCCTGGGGATTCCCACTCTCCCTCATCCCCCTCCTCGCCGTTTCCAGCAGCCAGTGTGAGCATCCTCCTCCGGCCATTAGAGACCCAGGCTTCAGGTGCTGAACAGCCTAATAAGAAGGTCCAAGTTTGTCAGTGAAATGATGGATCAAGTTAAAAGAAAAAAAATCATCCTTGCTAATGAGCTGTGATGAGACCTCTCCAGCAGGAGCAGGGAGGCAATGCACAGCACCCCTTGCTTGCTCCCTGCTCTCACCCCAAGATTTTCCTGCTCTCCCTCCGCCCCGTACCAGCATTATTTCCCCCGCTGCTTCTTTGTTTGCCTTCCCTAAGCTTCTTGTGATATTTCCAGCCCGGGCTCAACCTCGATGGTGTCCTTTGAAATGATCTCCTTGCCCTCAACAATGTTCATAACACCTTGCCGTTTAATATCAACTGCGAATTTCATTAACATGCTGGGTGCTCGCGCGGAGAGATCATTAATGCAGATGTTAATGAAAAGCAGGCCACGCTCGCAAACAGCTCCCCTCTGCTCAACACCTTGCTGCTTCGCATCAGCCTTTTCCCTCCCCGTCCCGGACCCTTGGCCAAGCACCTGAGGCCCAGCACGGCCCGACGTGCTCCTGCCAAGCTTCGGGAGCGGAGATCCACCCTCTGCACCATGGATGGTGCCTCTGCTCCTCGGTTTCCCGTGGTGTCTCTGCCTTGCCGGAGCATTTCTGGCTGCAGAGTGCCAGCATGACTCTTCTTCCCCCCCCCCCCAAAATGCTAATGCATTTGTTATTCTCCAGCCATCTGTGACCTCCACAGCTCTCCGTGCTTTTCACAAGTAATTATTCATGCATCTATAAATTCATTAACACCTTAGGATACACGTCATGCTGTCTGATTTGCATATGTCCACATTGTCTCAGCGCCGTCTCCCCCCCCCCCCCCCCCCCCCCCTACTGTTTTTCCCGC